TTGAACTAGTACTGGATTGAGCATGGTTCACTTGTGTCTGGCATGGTCCAGTTCAGTTTTATTCCATTTACACTAAACAGTTATCTTGGTTACTGTGATCTAGGCAGGGTTTCAAAAGGGAAGTGTAAATGGGCCTTATAGCATGGTATCACACCACTTCTGAAGAAAGAAAAATCTTTAGGAAGGCTAAATTATGTCTCACAGCCATTGTTTTTCTTAGACATCAGCTTAAAGGAATAGTACACCCAAAACATGATTAGCCTTCATTTTCTACTCACCCCCATGCTGAACAACACTCTGGAGTACTTTTTTGATATCTCAAATGCATCTGGAGATCTGGGAGGCTTCTTGCTGTCTGCTGACATTCAAATAATGGAGGTCTATGGTGACCGAGACAGAAAGGTCCATAAAAGTCCACAAAAAAACGTGTCAATATTCCTCCATACTGCTCGTCCAATGTATTCCAAGGGTCCTGAGTGGGTAGCATCCAGAATTTACTCGAAACAAAGTCATTTAGAATGTTTTTAGAGCATAAACAGTAGTGTATAGGATTTCCTGAAAGCGCGCGCCGGCGCGTTCATGACGCTACGGAAGCCGGCAGACCAAACCAGATGAAAGTGCGCATTCAGCGTCTGCTCTGCCAATAATGCAAGCGTAGAAGAAGAAATGTGCTGTTTACCAGTGCAAAGAAAGAAACAAAGAAAGAAAAATGTCTGAGGACTTCAGTGTTGAGGAAGAGCATGAGTTCTTTGCCGAGCTGAATGCGCTGGTTTGGTCTGTCAGCTTCCGTAGCATCGTGATCGCGCACGTGCGCGCTTTCAGGAAATCCTATACACTACTGATTATGCTCTAAAAACATTCTAAATGACTTCGTTTCGAATAAATTCTGGATGCTACCCACTCAGGACACTTGGAATACATTGGACGAGCAGTATGGAGGAATATTGAAACGTTTTTTGTGGACTTTTATGGACCTTTCTGCCTCGGGCACCATAGACCTCCATTATTTGAATGTCAGCAGACAGCAAGAAGCCTCCCAGATCTCCAGATGCATTAGAGATATCAAAAAAGTACTCCAGAGTGTTGTTCAGCATGGGGGTGAGTAGAAAATGAAGGCTAATCATGTTTTGGGTGTACTATTCCTTTAAGAAAAGAACAGTACTTGTCCCTGTTCAGAATTGGTTCTAAAAGGGTTCTCAACTTAGAGCAGTTCTATGCACTCTGCCTCATTTCGCTGCTCAGTGTTTAGAGAGAATGGGGGGTCAAGGAGGATGCTTCCTGTAGAGGGTGGGTAATCACTTCTTTATATGAAGGCTACTGGTTTTTCAGGGCAATAAAATGTGCAAGGATTAGTGACGCACAGTTGAATCAAGTGATATTCCCTTTGGGCTTGATTTAGATGAAAAAAAAAAACATTTCAACAGTGAAAAAGCTAAAAAAAATATACTGTACGTATGCTGTTGCATATATTTGTATGAATAGACAGATAGGCAGGCAGGCAGATGGTGATTGTTAGGGTAGGAGGTGAGTAAAACCCTATTTGTTAAGCAATACCAGTTTTAGATTCCTCTTTTTGGGTGTATTAATTCCAGCCCTGTTTAGTCCACATTAACTGGACCGTAGTTCATTTCAGCAGAATGTCTGGTTCCTTTAGGCAGTTATGAATCTGCAGTCAAACTTTGATACAAAAAATCTAACTTGGGTCCCCCTCAAAACCTTTGGTCTCAGTTTGGTTGAAATGAACTTTGTCGCGGTACGAATAGGTGTGAAGGTCAAGGAGACTGGAGACCTCTCTGAAAACTGTAATTTTACTGTAATTAATGCAAATTAAATCATTCATATTTTACTAACAGACATCTAGCTGGACGTCTACAGTATGCATTTTTGATGTCAGTGCAATGAAGTCGAATGTGCCACTTCTTGCACATCGCCGCCTCTTTTGGAGCCTTGACTATAAAAAATAAAAAAAGGTCCCTGCAGTTGCCTGCCTTGTTTTTTTTATGCTGAGGCTAAAGTTGAAAGATACTTATCTGGTAAACTTGCCAAAAAGACAGCAAAGCAATGACACTGCTGTTGCCATTCTAGGATGTTTACATTTTTGCGCACAAGGAAGTAGTTTTTTGGGTCAAAACTTTGTTTCGGTTTGATAAGTGCCTTGTGAATGTAAACCGCCCGAGATAAAAACAGTAACAGTCTTGCAATTTTGGTCCCCGATGGATCCAAGTCTAATGAACTATCAGGTGTGAAAACGACTTTAGTTTTGCAATACTTGTTTCAGCCTTAAAGCTCTCTGTGGTTCTGGTCATCATGCAGTTGCTCATTTCACCACCTGCCATGAAATTGTATTGATATGTACAGGTTAGTCAAGGTCACTCCTGATGTTTTGATATGTTTAGGATCATTATTGGGTTGTAAAACAAATCAGTTTTATTTCTAAAATACTGGATGTTTGCTTCCAGAGTTTGCTGTGCCCCTAATCAAATTATTTCTTTGTTCTAACAGTAAAATGTTCCCTGATTAAAAGGACACACTATGATTGAAAGGTCCTGTGCTTATGAGTTGGAGTTTGTCTTTTAAAGGTTTTTTCCCATATAAAAACATTTCTTTGCATTGTGAAAAGATGAATATCCTAACGTCATCCCGGAAGGAATGATAAGCCATGCCAATGCAGTTTGAAATATAAAAAAAGTGCATATTGTGCATTGACATGCCCATTATGAGAGGGTCTCTGCTTATAAAAGTAAAAAGTAATATTATTGGTTCTGTAACCGAAGAAGACTTATTTGAAGCTGTGTTGAAAAAAACCACTGGTGGGAGATATAATGCAGATAACAGAAGCAGATATTAGTTTGAAATCTTAGTTTCAGAATAAATTGTTTTTATTGCATCACCTTCTTCTCTGCCCTCTGAGTTTTTCTTTGTCCACATTGATTCCTGAATAAAACAATGAATTATTTTCTCTTGCTTTAGCCGTTGCATTTTTTTCAGCAAGAATTCTGAAACTTTTCCCACAATTCTGGGGTTATTGTAAATTTTATTAGACAACAGATAAAGTAGTTGATTGATTGATTGACTATATTGATCTCACAGTGGAGTTATTTACTCATTACATCAGCTTAAATAATCAAAGGAGAAGAAGAAGGTGCCAAAGGAAGAAAAATGTGCATGGGATATATACAGTATATAGAGCGCGTCAACATATGACAGTTTTTTTTTTTTTTTTTTTTTATAGCAGGATTATTATACAGGGTTATTGCACAGTGTTAACATGGGTATTTATATAGATGGATATTCATATCTATATATATAGTTATTACACTGGGCTTCAAATATAGAGAAACAGGTTTTTGCACAGGGTATCAAATAGTAATTGCACATTACAGTTAAACCTCTACTGTGGGATTGCTTTCATTATCTGTTGCCATGGATCTGTTTGAAAACAAGGCAGTGGCCTTCTTAGCCCTGTTAGATTACATTTTGATGCAACTGTTGAAATTTGGCTTTTAAAGTACAATGCAAAATTTAGTTTCCAGACATTAGTTAATGTTTCCAATAGCTTAAGAAGTATTATCAATTCATTTTCTTAAAAAATCTGGTGAGATAGCTTGTGACAGCTGTGAAAAGGGTTTAAAAAGTCAAAACTGCATTGCACTTTTGTGTCCCCATGTTAGCTTTGATCATATTTGTTCAAAAGTAACAGTCCAAACAAAGTATTGGCTCTTAAATCTTGTTTGGAAGCTCAAAGGTGGGCAAGATATAATAAAATGTTGATGATAAACTTTTTGTAAAACTGTTTTTAAACTCTAAATTGTCCCACTTTGTATATTTACAGAATTTACGGTAGAATTTAGCTCCTTCCATTCATAATTACCCAGTACTCAGAATAACTGAAAACTTGACCTGCTGCAACAAAAACAGTTTCTACATAGGAGCTGTCTTTGACCTCTACTGCTCCAAGTTTGACTCTTTTCTCATTATTTTACAACTAGTTTTATAAAGACAGCAGCCATTTCCTGCAAAAACATACACATTAGAAAAGAAATAACACAAGCAAACAAAAACTCACAGTCACAAAGCAAATAGAAAATAACTAACAATGAGGATTTAAACAAATGTGAGATGTTTCAAGGGAAAAACTAAACCTTTCCAGAATCTCTCAGTGGAATAAAGATAGAGACAAATGACACAAATAGCTTAAGGGCCCACATTGTGCAACTTGTTCATGCATGGGTGTGAGCTGGCTGACATGTGAGGCTGTGCCTGTCAGTTTATCAACAGCAGCAATTTTTCACCCTTGATCAGCCAACCGTGGAGACATTTCAAATGAACTACCGGCATTCCAGCAGAATCAGATTGAAGACAAAAGGCAGGCTCTCAGTGAATTATTGGACCTGCTTTGGGCTTTGTCTTCATACCACCCCTTCCTGTCACAAACTCTTCCAATCCTTCTCTGATTCTCCAGACCTCTCAGTCTTGTCTGATTGGCTTCACCGTGACAGACACATTAGCCATTCACAACGCAGCAAGCGCCATGTGGACAGCGGACGGTGCCCAGAAATCAAGCAATATGCTCTCACAGAGCAAAAAAAAACAAACAAACCACTCGCAAATACTGTCTCTTGCATGCATACCCACATAGTAGTCCCATTGTGACCTTACGTCAGAAAAGACAAACAACGTCGACAGAAAGTGGCCGCCTCTCAATGTGGCGAGCCAGAGTACGGAACCCCAGTACCATATGGGCTCTTCATCGTTGACAAAACAGCTTTGGGGATATATACCTCTCTTTATTTTCTGTTTCTTTCAACATCTCCCCAACACATTAAAGTGCCATCACCAATCTGTATGCATTGCTCGGAGGTGTGGTAGAGTCGAGATGATTTCTTTAAAGTAATCTCTCCTTCCTGTCAGTTAGAAAAAACTCAGACACAACTCACTGCAGCTGAAATAAAAAACAAAAAAAACAAGCAAACAAACAAAACACCCCAAGACTCTCTTACCTAGCTGCATTGGCATGTTGGTAATCTTATTTTCTGCAGGAAATAGGATCTTGGGTGGTTTGTCGGTCAGAGGAGCTGAAAAAAAAAACAAAGAAAAAAAAACAAATGAAAAAACAGCCTCAAATTCAGAAATGCATAAAAATACACACATTTTGTTTTTCCAAAAACAATTGTTAAATTCCTATTTAAACAATTAAGGTTTCTGCATCTGACCTACTTTGAATTATTATTGGATCACTTTCAAGAACATGGCAGCATTTAGTCTAAGTGTTGTTGATGTGATGAGCCTTCAGTGTGTATGTGTGTGGCCTCGGCGAGAAGGAGCAGTTGATGCTCTAATGATGCTAATCATCCATAGGGTAGATGTCAGATCTGCTGCTTAAGTCTCTTCTCATGGGGAATGCAGCAGTTCTATAGCGTATAAAGATATTACGTGTTTTTTTGCAAAAGAGACAGCCCTCTCTAGTGTTTTAAGGGTTCACCCATTTTCTTCCTCTGACACAAATGAAGAGAAATAGGATTACTAATGAAAAAGGGAGGTCATGTTTTTGTTCAACATAATTAAGATAAATATGATATGATTAATGCCAAAATCACATGTAATGTGGAGTTGGGAGAAAATCTTGCAGTGCTTTTTTAGTACTTAGTAGAAGTGCTTCATACCCAGAACAGATACAAATGGCATTGTGAAAATATAATATATACCAAGTGTTGCAGTAATACAATCTGATTATGAACACACTTGTTCAGATTTAATGACAGCAACTCTGCATGTTGTGTAACTATAATTATGAGGAACACATTTCTCTCACTTAAAATGACAGAAACAGTAATAGTAATATGTTAGAGTTGGACCGTTTAGCTATTTGACCTCTCAGATTTAAACTTGCATCCTAGAAACACTGGCTAAAATGCCTGCAACATTGACAAACAGGAACACTTTAGAGTACTGCTTTAGGAACATATCCACTTCAGGAAATACTTCCCAGGAGCCAGATTGTCTGGGGACATTGGTAATTGTAACCCTCTTCTGTTTTCACTACATCTACCATGGTAAAAAAACGATGAATAGAAATTTACCAAAATGAAAGGCAGTTATACGAATGCAGCATATTGATATGTACCCATACCTCAGGTGTTTTTTATTTTCCCTTTTTCATAGCAATAGCATGAACATCTATTTCAATAATCAGTTTTAGACTGTTGGCATTAATGTCCTGTTTCTCATAATAAAAGAACAGAAAATGTAAAAAAAAAAATAATCAAGACACAACCAAACATTAACATGTAAGGAGTAAGGCATGGTTAGTGCTACCCACACAGCATATTGTCAAGGGTTAAACAAGTCAGATTGTGGCCTACGTGCTGTTATGTAGTCCATCCATTTCTTCCGGGAATCAAACAACTCCTTCTTGTGGTTTACATCTGTAATTCATTTCTCAATTTCTCTGTATATGTCCATTTTAATGTCCATCCACATGGTCAATGTTGGCCTCTCCTGAGGCAAGTGACTCCCAAACATAATGTATCCCCTTCCGATAGGTTTTAATAATCCTTCCAACAGTGTGAGCTGCTACATTTCCATTGATATTCCCAATTTTTAACCACAATTTCTCTTTCAGATCTATTTCTCTTTACATTTCTCATTTTGCCTTAATATACAGGGATGACTGTACATTCTTATTAGCCATTTATATAGACCTGAGATAATAGCTCTGTGTTTGTTTAAACCATAAGCCCTTTTAAACACTTCTAACAGCTGTTTGCTTGATTCTGATATATATTTTACGTTGTCACTGACAAAGTGTCTCTGCTATACTGTAAGTAATGATAGAAATCATGTGCCTCCACAGCATATTTCTCTTTAATTCTTTCAAAACTAAGTAGTGTGTTTTCCTTAATTATCAAAGAGCATACAGCTGTTAATCCTTTATTTGTCCATTCCTTGAATCTCGTATCTAATTTGTCTGGGGCACTCTTAAGTGCACACCATATTAAGGTTCCCAATATCCTCGTCTAATTTGTATTCTGTTATTACTGTTTTCCATATTTTGAGAGACACCCTAATTTATGGGTTTTCTATATTTTATAGAAGGACTGCAGATTAATATCTGCCATGTAGGGGAATGGGAGACATATCCTCTTCAATGTTTTCCACTAAGCGTCAAATGAAGTGTTACACCAGAATATATTAAGTCTTAGTTGTGCTGCCCAGTAGTTATCTCTAAGGGAAGGATGGCTCCATCCACCCTCTGCTTTTTTGTTGTTGTTGTAAGGTTTTAAATTATATTAGGGGCATTTTACCTTGTATGTATCTGATATTATATGTATCTGGACAACATTTTGTCCAATTCACTATTGTTGTTTTTGGCCCATTTCAATTGGTAGGGTAATCATGATAAATAATAACTGAACTTTATTAATCTCACATTGGAGAAATTTACCTCTGCATTTAACCCATCCCTTTGTGGAGCAGTGGGCTGCCATTATGGGGCGCCCAGAGAGCAGTGCGGGGTCTTGTTCAGTGACCCAGAGTGTCAGTCTGTGGGAGTGGGGCTTGAACTCAGAACCTCATGATTCAAGCTCTATGCCCTCACCATTAAGCTGCATTTAATCAAATCTATTCTTGAGCTAAAACTTAAGTATGTAATTGGATTCCATCTTGCAATTTCCTTTTTAGTGTTTTTTGTATCAGTGAATAATAACGTTGTAATAATTGTGTGAGCTCCAATGATATTGTAACCCCAAAACATTTGAAATATTGTGATTCCCATTGAGGTTCTAATTTTGTACTTTGGGCTATAATTGTTTTTGAGGAATTGTGTTTTACTTATGTTAATTTGTAACGCGATAACCAAGCAAAGTATCAAATGATCATATTAGTTTGGGTGAAGATTTTGATGGCTGATACAGAAAGATCAAACTATCATCTGAATAGCTAGCCAAATTATGCTATTTCCGCTGGATACTGATGCCATTTATTTCTTACTCCTTCCGCTGCTTCAGGTTAATTTTATTTCATAGATACTCAAAGCTAAGTTTCTGCTAGGCTAGTTTTAATATTTCTTTTTTTTTTATGGGGTGTAAACAAACAGCCTGACAGTAAAACAGCGAATACGTCTTTCTTTAAAATGAATGAAGGTAGAGCCTCTTCCTGCTCACGTTTCAACAAAAACCCCAAGTCTAATTCCTTCCAAAACTGATTCCAAAGCTGAGTTAAAAATTGCAATCAGAGCCAGCGGTTCTTCACACACAACAATGCTGAGAGAGGGCCGCTGCAGATGGGCTTCATCTAAAATCTATATTTTTGATGAAAATCTGATATTTTCTAGGATAGATTTTTTTCTTTGTCTCACACACTTCATATTCTAGCCTTCTGTAGACTGACCATCCTTTATTTTTGCAACCACAAATGCTATCTTCTTTGGCAGTACTGGCTTAAAAAGGAAACGGTAAGGTTGATTGAGTGTTTAGAATATATTAGGGAAGTTCAGGGATGAAGTTTCAGGGGAGCACAAACAAACAATTTTATGAAAGTCGAAATTTGTACTTTTTTGGAAAGCGTCAGATTGGTTTCTGTAAGGTGGAAAATAATTTCAACTGAAGGAATAAAGCTGGTCTTTTGTTTAGGATACACCTATTTTTCCTTTCCCAGCTGCAGCTTAAATTCAATAACATCAGTCTACTCTGCAGGTATATCTGGAAGCAGCAATCCCTATACGCTGACATCTTTATTTGTTGTGGGCAAGTAAAGTAACCGTGTTTCAGCTTAAGAGCACAAAACACCAGCTTATTGACTAAATCTGATCAAGCCTTTTGGAGGACAAATGGTGCAATTCAACAAACACCACTAAAAAAATCAACTTGACCGTTCACATTTGGTTAGAACAAATCATATTTAAAGAGTTTGGTCCATAAAAAGGAAAGGACAGTTTGTCTCATAAAACTACTCTTTTGATATTTCATTTCTTGCTCCGTTGTATTATATGAGATTGATCAGATATAGCACCTGATATTTATGTAAATATTGACTGAAGCTCAGTTATATCTATGAAAGGCACGGTCATCGGCTTTTAACCAAAAGGATTTGCACTGTTAAGAGCTAATCAGCTCAGCTTACACTATATACAGATACAATTCTAATTACATATCAAACTGTTAAACATAATTAGTCAATGTGTGATCCTATAGCTAATTACAAGCCAGATAAACAAATGATGGCAATCTATGCATGGAACACAAGAGGGAAAGCAGATGTGGTAAAGGGAGGGAAGATAAACACATTAAAAAAAGAACAATGTTTATCAGGCAAAGAAAGACAGAATAAAGTAAAGTTTCTCATAACAGCATAACTCACCTTTGTTTGCTGTAAATGTGGCATGATGTGTTTACCTCATAATTTATATAACCCCTTTTAAATAACGAATATATCAATGATCAGAGTTTACGAGGGGAAGCGATTTAAAAAGTAGAGAGTTAGACGGCGCTTCTAAAAAAGAGACTGCTAAACAGATTAGTATCTACTAAAGGTAATTGGATATGTAAATTTATCACATGAGCTTTAAGATTCTGGGTTTGTGCCTCATGAGAAAATGATGGTAACCTGATGTGTTTTGTATTTGTCTTAGATTTTGTGTCTGTAACACAGAACTGTGATTTACAGTTAAATCAAGAACATAAAATAACATTTAAATAAAGTTATTCAAACTTCGAGATTTCCTGGAAATGTTAATTTCACTATATATAAACTGCCTCATTAGCCAGAAATAGATACTAAAAACCAAAAATACTGATTTCAATGTTTTTAGATAACTCTTTGATACTTCTTATTTTAATTTAGTTCTGCAGAAATTCTGACCACATTTCACAGCTCTAGAAGTAAAATTGGGGAATTCTTCAAGCATTAGAAAAAGGATGCAGCCTTACATTTGCTATCAATAAAGATCTTTGATGAAGCTGATTGGGTCATTAGGGATATCTACATTTTAGGATTTAATCACTTTACAGTAAAACTATGTTCTAGCCGAAGGGCAGAGAGATGTTGTATTCTCTGAGGTGAAAAAAGCAGGGTAGAT